CCCCTTCTGTTCTGAAATGTGATTTGTCCTTTTCATATGTGTTCACTTTTTTTTTTTAATTGTATCCTTTGGTATATATGGTTGTGACTATTTTCTTCCACTATTTGATCTGAGGAAGTGGGTCTGGCCCATGAAAGCTCATCATCTAATAAACCATCTTGTTAGTCTTTAAAGTGCTACATAGTCCTGTATTTACTTTCAAAATGGCACTTGTTCAAAAGAGTGCCATAAGCGATTATGAAAATGAAGCGCGGGATATTTAAATCCCCGCTTCATTTGCAATTTTGAGTGTCTAATTTACATCCCTCTGTTGAAAGTGGGATGTAGTCTAGACACAGCCAAAGAAGAGAATTTTCTTTTCCTAGTAGCTTCCTAGTTGGTACGGAGAGAGCAGGCTGAAGCAAACTGGGAGTATGTCCACACCACAATTGTGTTCTTCCGAAAGTAAGTAAATCGAAAGAACAGAGGGGTTTTTCTGGCGTTGGTAATTCTCTTTCTACGAGAAAAAAGCCTTTTCTGAAAGAGCTCTCTTGGCAAAAGGCATGTGTGGACAGGGAAGAGGGAGTTCTTTCGAAAGAAGAAGGAAAAGCACAGGTGCCCTGGTGGACGCTCCGCTCGTAGTAATCACAGCTAATATGCGAGAGAGTGTCCATTCAGTGTGGAAGCTCTTTTGGAAAAGGAGATGGCTTTTTCGATGCGCATTGGCAGTGTGGACGCTCTGTTTCAGAAGATCTCTTCCGAAAAAAGGTTCTTCCGAAAGAAGCCTGCAGTCTAGACATAGCCTAGGACTCTGTACAATACTAGTAGCCCTTTGTGGAGATGCCATTTCTCCCCAGATCTTAACAAAAGAACAGTTCTGCTTGTCTGACTTGTTGGGCACACACACCATTTCTGTCTTATTTAGCAACTAGAAGAATTACCTGCTCAAGTCCTTACTCAGTTTTTGTTTTTTGGAAAATAAAATGAAAATGTACATGCTTCATTTAACTCATTGCTCTGGGGTGAGGCTGGTATTCAGTATGCAGGCTGCTCCGGGGAGACAGGACTATCTCAGCTCTGTCACTGCAGCAGCTTGGGGCGAAATGAGAAGTGCCACTCCATAGCTGTTGCAGGAGACTCAGCCAGGGGGACAGACAGACACTCTCAAATATGTCAGAGATATCTGTTCCTTTCTGCATCCCTGCTGCCCCAATGGGGTTATAGCTGTCCTAGTCTCCATCTCTGACCCCTTGCTGCCTCCCTGTGGTCATTATACAGTATAACTGTCTCTGCTTTCCATCCCATATCCCCTGTGGTCATTATATAACAGATCACAGATCCTTTCCATTTTATGAGAACCGTGCCAGGCACATCCCATTTTCCTGGCACTACCAAATCCTTACCTTGCTTTAAGTCACTGTGGGACAACCTGTGGGATACCACTAATTTCTTCTTTCCATTCTGAAAACTGAATATTTATTCCTACCACGTTTCATGTTTTTAGCCCATTATCAATCCATGAGAAGACCTTCCCTCTTATCCCATGACAGCTTACTTAAGAGCCTTTGGTGAGGGACCTTGTCAAAGGCTTTCTGGAAATCTAAATATACTAGCTCCCCTTTGGCCACATGCTTGTTGATGCTCTCAAAAAACTAGTAGATTAGTAAGTCATGATTTCCCATTACAGAAACCATGATGATTTTTCTCCAACAAATTATGTTCTTCTACATGTCTGACAATTCTATTAATTATTATCGTTTCAACTAATTTGCTTGGCACTGATGTTAGACTTACTAATCTGTAATTGCCATGATCACCTTTACAGCCCTTTTTAAAGATTGGCATCATATTGGCTATCTTCTAGTCATATCTTCTAGAACAGCTGTTCTTGCGCAAAAACTTGCTGGGTGTCTACACTGCACGTACATTCTTGCGCAAGTAAATTTACAGTACAGCGTCAGAAAACAGGTCTTCTTCCGGAAGAGTTATTCCTCTCCCCACGAGGAATAAGCCCTCTTGCGCAAGAGAGCGTCCGCACTGTCAAAGACGCTCTTGTGCAAAAGCACATGCCAGTGTAGACGCACTCTTGTGGAAGACTTTTTATGTAAGAACTCTTCTGCAAAACTGTTCTTGTGCAAGAAGCTGCCAGCGTAGATGTTTTAAAGGATGGGTTACAAACCACAGTTAATAGTTCTGCAGTTTCTACATTTGAGTTCTTTCAGAACTCTTGGGTGAATGCCATCTGGTCCCAGTGACTTGTTGTTTAGTTTATCAATTTGTTCCAAACTGGGACAGTTCTTCAGATTTGTCACCCAAAAAGAATGACTCAGTTTGGGAATCTCCCCAACATTCTCAGCAAAGAATTCGTTTAGTTTCTCTGCAATGATCTTACCATCCTTGAGTGCTCCTTCAGCATCTTGATCATCCAATGGCCCACTGGTTGTTTAGCAGCCGTCCTGCTTCTGATACTTAAAAACAGTTTTGCTATTACTTTTTGAGTTTTTGGCTAGCTGTTCTTCAAATTCCTTTTTGGCCTTCCTAAGGATATTTTTACATTTCATTTGACAAAGTTTATGCTCCTTTCTGTTTTCCTCACTAGGATTTAACTTTCACTTTTTAAATAATGCCGACAAACCTTGACCTACCCCAGCCAGGGTACATGCACCCTTCCCCCGACTGACTGCTGGAGCTGCAGTGGCCACGGAGAGGCACTTCTCACCTGGCCCCAAGCTGATGCGGTGGTGAACGGGCTGGGGTTGGCCTCTCTCCATAGGGAAGCCTGCATACTGACCCCCCCTCCAACCCCACCCCAGAGTAATGATTTACCGTATATACTCGAGTATAAGCCGAGTTTTTCAGCACATTTTTTGTGCTGAAAAATGCCCCCCCTCGGCTTATACTCGAGTCAGCGTCTCGAGAACTGAGGAAAGTGAGTACGCTGGTCAGGTTCTAAGGCATCCAGGTTGTCGTATCTGTCAGGAGGTGTTATTGTTATGGACTGCGCTGTAAATTCATCATCAAAGTATCTCGTGTCAATTTCTGAGGTCTGAAAGCTCTATGTATGTGCGATGAACAGCGCACATACGTAGGCTTGTTGGCTGGGTCATCTGGTCAAGCTCGACTGACAAAAGTTGGAAATCTGAGGAAGCCAGACATAGAATTGATAGCACAGTGGGTTCGTGATGCATGGGAAGAGATTCCAGAGGACCTGGTGCAACGCGCCTTCAAGAAATGTGGCATTAGTAATGCTATGGATGGCAGTGAAGACAGCGCTTTGTATGAGAACGACAGCAGTGATGGTGATGACTGTGAACTCAGTGATGATGACAATGTCTATGCTGATAACCTCACACCAGCTGAAGCTCTGTTTGGACATACAGATGATGAGGAGGAGAACTCCAGTTTTGAAGGATTTTAGCTCTTGTGTGTTAGCTTGGTTGCTGATTGAGCTAAGGTTGTTGTACTTTTAAAGTTACGGTATTTTTGATACCATATTGTTTTTGTTGACCCCCTTTTCCACTTACAGAGCTAGGTTATTTTCTTTGAAATAAATATTCATGTAATTTTATTGGTATCTATCTTCATTTTTTACATTTACCAGTAGCTGCCTCATTTCCTACCCTAGGCTTATACTCGAGTCAATATTTTTTCCCAGTTCTTTCTGGTAAAATTAGGTGCCTCGGCTTATATTCGGGTCGGCTTATACTCGAGTATATACGGGTAAATGAGGAAAACGGGGTTTTTGGTCTGGCCTCTGAAAAATTAACCATTATATCCCTTGCTTTTAATTTGTAGCTTTCAGAGAAAGATAAACCGTATGTGGACATCCAAGGGTTAACAGCCTCTACTATGGAAATCCTGCTGGACTTTGTGTATACAGAAACTGTTCATGTGACAGTAGAAAATGTTCAGGAATTGCTCCCAGCAGCATGTTTGCTTCAGCTGAAAGGTAATTGCAAACCAATTCGCCATTTAGATTGCACAGTTGATGCTGTTCAGATTGCAGAAGGCAGAAGAGGCTACTGGGCTGTTTTCAGAACCAAGTCTTTGGCTACATCTAGACCGCCCCCCTCTTACACAAGAGAATATGCAAATGAGGCAAGCGATGAATACTGCCACACCTCATTTGCATTCTTAATGAGCCACCATTTTGCATAAGGGGCTTTTGCACATAAAGGAGCCGTCTACACAGCTCCTTTTTGCACAAAACCCCCCTCTTGCGCAAGAGCTGTTCTGCCACTTTTTTTTCTGGGGTATTCTGCAAAAAGGAGCTGTGTAGACGGCTCCTTTATGTGCAAAAGCCCCTTATGCAAAATGGTGGCTCATTAAGAATGCAAATGAGGTGTGGCAGTATTCATCGCTTGCCTCATTTGCATATTCTCTTGCACAAGAGGGGGCAGTCTAGACGTAGCCTTCTTGTTTTAGAACTAAATAACAGCTATTTGTCAAATGTGCTGCCCAATGTACTTTTGCGGAGATGTAGTGATAAAACAAATAATTGTCCTGGGGCATCTCCAACTCTCAGGCCATACAAATTCATAGAATCATAGAATACTAGGACTGGAAGGGACCTCAAGAGGTCATCGAGTCCAGTCCCCTGCCCTCATGGCAGGACCGAGTACTGACTAGACCATCCCTGATAGACATTTATCTAACCTACTCTTAAATATCTCCAGAAATGGGGATTCCACAACCTCCCTGGGCAATTTATTCCAGTGTTTGACCATCTTGACAGTTAGGAAGTTTTTCCTAATGTCCAACCTAAACCTCCCTTGTTGCAGTTTAAGCCCGTTGCTTCTTGTCCTATCCTCAGAGGCCAGGAAAAACAAGTTTTCTCCCTCCTCCTTGTGACACCCTTTTAGATACCTGAAAACGGCTCTCATGTCCCCGCTCAGTCTTCTCTTTTCCAAACTAAACAATTTCTGAGCTGCGTGAGGCTCCCTTTTCAGTCTTCTGTATCTGCCAATTATTTTTAACATAAATAGTCAGTGTCCTAAAATACTGCCTTTTTCCTCACCCCTGAAGAAACATTTGCCTTTACACCTCTTTGCATGCGCCTACCTTTAAGAAAGGCTTTGGGGTTGGCATTTGCTATAGACTAGAGCTTGGTTTTCTAGAGTACTTTCCAAAGCAGTGATTGGGTAGCAGATGTATGTGAGGTTACTTACTGATTTCATGTTCATAGGTGTGAAGCAGGCTTGTTGTGAGTTCTTGGAAAGCCAGCTGGATCCATCAAACTGTTTGGGCATCCGAGATTTTGCTGAGACACACAACTGCATTGATCTAATGCAGGCAGCAGAGGTCTTCAGCCAGAAACACTTCTCAGAGGTGGTTCAGCATGAAGAGTTCATCCTCTTAAATCAGGAAGAGGTGGAAAAGCTCATCAAATGTGATGAAATTCAGGTAAAGGTAGCAGGAGCCATTGTGCAAATCAATGGGAGCAAAATACTGCTTAAGCAAATCATGGTACAAGTTGGACCGTGCTGGTCTGGCTCCCTCAGGACTTGACTGGTCCCAAACGAGAGGGTTTGTTGGACCAGGGAAGATCCCTCCCGTCATGGCCTGTGCTGCCACCTGGCTAGGCCTCCAGCTGGTCCCCACTGCTGCCCCAGCCCCCCAGGGCTCTCTAGATGTCACCGGCACTGCTGCTGCCAAGGCTGGAACATCACGGCAGGAGCTTCGCAGCCATCTGGCTCTGCTACCAGGGCCCGAGCCTCCTGGCTGCTGCTGGAGCCAGAACAGCTCCAGAGCCAGAGCTCTGCATCTGGGGCTGGGGCCAGAGTTCCCTGGCTGCCTCTGGGGTTGGAGTTCCCTGGCCACTTGGGTTGCCAGTGTCCCCTACGGTGCTCCTGCCCCGCCGCCAGACCTCCATGTTCCTGGGCTCTGTGGTCCAGGAACATCTGTGGTCCATGCCAGACCACGGATGTTGCCGGACCATGAAGTCCTGGTTAAGGGCTTGTAGTCCCCACACATTGGTAGTCTCTTTCACCCCACATTGGTTAGCTCATAATGCTCTTGGCGTGGCTATCTCAGGCAGGCTCTGAATGCTCTCAGCTGCATGTTCTGAAGGTGACAGGCAAAGTGTAACCTCCTCTCTACAGCAAAGTAGCTTTCATTGGAACATTGGTTTGTAATACTACAAACCGGAACCAAATTAGTTACAATCAAGGAAAGAGGCTAAGATACAACAGCGATGGGCATGATTTCTGTTCTATGCCAAACAGAAATATCCAACACTGCCCTGGATTTGGCAGTCAGTGATCAGCTGTGTTAACAGCTGGAGTGAAACCGGAAATCTGTACAGTGGGATGTATTTATTGGGTGCCAGGTTATGCGTGGGCCACTGCTGAGTGTTGATGGGATAGTGATTGTGGATTCAGCTTTCATCTCCTTTTTTTTTCATGTCCAGGGATGATGCTGTACCCCAGCATGACAACACTTATGGAGCTCGTTTATATTAACTTCAGAACAAATTAAAAACACCCTGTCATTTGTATTGCTATTCTTTAGGCATCACTAATAAAATCGTGATATAAATTAATTGAATGCTTCTTAATCCAGCTGCATTTGGGAGTTGTGCTTGTCAGTGTCCTCTGGATGTAGTCTGAATTCTTCCCCCTTTCTCCCTTTGCTCATAGGCTTTAAGGCCATAAGGGATCATTGTGATCATCTAGTCTGACTTCCTGCACATCACAGGCCACAGACCCTCACCTCTGGCCTCAAATCTTGATTTAAAAATGTTGTTAGAGAGAATCCGCTGCTTACTGTAGTTCAAATCAGCAAGTGACCTATGTCCCACACTACAGAGAAAGGGGAAAAATTCCAGGGTACTTTGTTTGACCTGGAATGAGGGGGATTCCTCCTTGACCCCAAATATGGCAATAGGGTAGACCCTGAGCATGTAGGTGAGCTCCACCAGCCAGTGCCCAGAAAAGAACACTTTGTAAAGGCTTAGCCTCCCCCGTCTAGTGTCCATCTCTGGCCATTGTAGATGTTTGTTAATAACAGTTGCAGATGGTTGATATGCCATTGTAGGTACCTCATCGTACCACCCTCTCCACAAATTTATCAAGCTCGGTCTTGAAAGAGGTTAGGTTTTGTCCTCACTACTACTTGGAAGCCTGATCCAGACCTTTATTCATCTGATAGTCAGAGTCCTTTGTTGTGTTTCAAGCCTAGACTTGTTGACGGGCAGGGTATATCCCTTTGTACCATCGTTGGCTCTTACCCCCTCTCCCTCTCTGGTGTTTGTGTGTCTGATGGCAATTATGTCTTCTCTCTGTCTTCATTTCATTATGCTATTTAAGCCAAGCTCCTTAAGTCTTCTCGCATAAGGAAGGTCTCCTTTTTCTCTGGTTATCCTCGTAGAACCTTCTCTGCATGTCGTGCAGTCTGAGTTCATCTTTCTTATACGTAGGAGACCAGAATTACATAGTGATCCAGGTGAGGATCCCCCCAGTGCCTTGTATCATGGTACTGATGCATCCCTATCTCTACTGGAAATATGTCACCTGATGCATCCTAGGATTATATTAGCCTTTATCATGCTTGCATCTCACTGGTGGCTCATGGACATCCTGTGATCCACTCCACCCAGCTCTTTCTCCTGCTTGTCCCTTGCAACTGACTGAGGTCACCAGCTGGTAGCAAACCCCCTTGTGTTAGTCCCTAAAGGCATGATCTTGCACCTCTACTATTAAATATCATCCTATTTCTATTCTTTCCGCTTTCAAGGTGGTCTAAATCGTGTATAATATTCCTGTCCTCTGTATAGGCAAAACTTCTGTCATCGGCAGATTTTATTAGTACATTCCTACTTTGTGCCATTTAATCAATGAAAATGTTAAATAAGATTGGTACCAAGATAGGGATATAAAAGAGTAGTTGATTATCAGAGGCAGCAGAGGCAGGGGAAAGCAGGAGCCAGCATTGGGGCGGGGGGAACTGTGGTGCCTCCCCCCATGCTGCTGCAGCAAAGCAGCCCCTGTCCACAGCGGGTCCATGCTTCCCGCTGGGACCCCTTGCGAACAGGGGCTGCTGGACCTGGTGTGAGCTGGGACAGAGCAAACCCGGCTCCGTCCCAGCTCACACTGTGTCCAGGAGCTACCCCCACTGCGTCTCTGCAGTTTAAATGTAGTAGGAGCCAGGTTGCCTGCGTGTCTGGCTCTTACTATATTTAAACTGCAAAGCTGCAGCGGGGGTAGCTCCTTCTGAGCACCTTCCCTTATCGGCTAATTGTGTAGTCAATGCAAATTGTATCGACTCCACGATTACCCAGTTACCTGCCTCTTAGCCTCCTTATTCCAAGACCAATCCTTGAGGAGCTCCGTTTGTATTCTCTCTTTAGCCTGATAGTTCACTTTTCAGTGTGATTTGTTGTAGTTTCCCCTTTATCCAGTTTTACCCACCTTTCTGTTCTTTTAATTCTCCAGTTTACGTAATAATTACCCATATGAAACTGTATCTAAGGCTTTACTAAAATCCAGTTAGGTTAGATATACTTACTTTTCTTTGTCTAGAAAGTCTTATCTCAAAAAAAAGAGAGCAAGGCATCTGTGAGGGCACAGGGACATGAGGGGAATCTTTACAATCTTCCTTTTGTAAAACCATGTTGTATTTCTCCCAATTAACATTTACCCCGGTCTTTAATTACTCTCTTGCAGAGTTTGTTCTAAAATCTTGCATACAACTGAGGTCAAATTACTTGGTTGTAGTTTCCTGGATTACTCACCCCTCTCTTTTTCTTAAATGTGTGGGGGGTATGTATATAAGTGTATAAATTAATTAACAGGGCTCGACAAATGCACTTGCCCACGGCGAGTAGATTTTACCAGCTGGTGAGTGCATGGGCAGACTGGCCCGGTGGGCCATTGTGACGAGCTGGCGGAAGCCCGCACTACATCTGATCCGCTGGCTGGCGGAGGAGCAGAGCGCCGCTGGGAACGGGGAAGTGCGGACCACCGGGCTGCCTGTGTGCAGCTCCGGTGCGAGGAAGCGGGGCGGGATGCCAGGATGCTGGCGTGATATGGCCCCACTGATTTTAAAGGACCGCGGCAGCTCGGCTCTGGCCGCGTGTCCCTGGGAGCTGGCTGCAGTGCGCAGCGCAGCCAGAGGCCAGCTCCAGCCCTGCCATGGCCCCAGCGCCCCTTTGTCTCTGCGCCGCCCGTTCCACACGCCTCTCCTGCACCCCGGGCTCTCTGCTCTCCCTCTTCCCTGTGACCCTTTGGCTCTGTGCCGCCCTTATACCCTGCACCCTGCTCCCCCCAATCCCTGCCCCCCCAGCTCTGTGCTGCCCATTCCCTGCACTATTCCTAGACCCCGATCCCTCTTCCCCTCCCGTTCCCCGCATCCCATTCCCCGTGCCTCCACTGCACCCTGCTACCCCCGATCCCTGCATCCCTCTGGCTCTGTGCCTCCCATTTCCTGCGCCACCCTCGTATCCCCCCCACTGTTCCCTGCACCCCTCTGGCTCTGTGCTGCCCCTGCACCCTGCTCTCCCTGTGGGTCGGGAGTGAAGGGTGTTTGCCCATAGGGAGGGGCTGGACAGGGCAGGGAAAAGGCTGCTGTGACCCAACAGGAGTGAAAGGGGGAGTTCACTTGAAGCACCTTTGCCTTTATGGAAAAAAAATGAAAATGCTATTTGTTATTTATAGGGCTAAAATGCTGGGACAAAAACGAAAACAAACAAAAAAAATCCATTGCAAAATGCAAACGTGTAAAAGACAACAACAAAGGGCGGGGGGGGGGACTTCTGCCACCATTCTGTGCTGACGATCAGCTGATCCGGCACATAAAGAGAAGACTGAGAGGGGACATGATACTGACTTTCAAGTATCTAAAAGGGAGAAAATTTGTTCCATCTCAGCTGCAGAGGAAATGTGGGCTTTCTGAACTGTCACAGACAGACAACAGACACGCTTATGCTATGGCAGCAAAAACTTCTGGGCCCTGCTTCTCCTTTCACTGTCTGGATGGAAAAAGGACTCTGGTGGTGGCAGTGGCTGTTTCTCAGTAGCATTACAGTTAAGCCATTTCACAAATAAGATAAGTGAGACTTCAGATAGAGTGTCTCCAATTCAGCGATGGCCAACAACCAGCCCACAGTTCACCAAAGTTAACCCCTGGCAGAGTGCTGGTGCTTCATTAACCTGCACCACCATGGATACAACCAACTGAAACTTCCATTTGCTGCAAATCATCAATCCCAGGCAATGGGAGCTATTGGAAGCACTGTCCCAGTCCACACCACTTCCCAGAGCTCCCATTGGAGAGAGAAATGCCAGGGAGCCAAGTGCGAGACTGCGGCTTATTTTTTCTCTTTTCTTTTTTCAAGCTTTTCTGGGGCAAAAGAGTTTAGGGTAAATCTGGAGGTGATTTCAAGTGTTCACCTCCATTCTAGGGATAAAAAGCACTTGATAGTGGCAGCAAATTCCTTAAAATTTATGTATTGTGATTCTGGGGGCAAGTCACAGGGGCATGAGGGGAATAGGGGCAAAGGGTGGTGAGGGGTGGGCATCAGGGAAAAATGGAGCAAAGGGAGTAGGGGCAGTGAGGGAAGAGGGAGGCAACAGGAGGGTGCAGGGGTAAGGGAAGGTGCAAGTGCCAGGGGATTCCGAGGGTGAAGCAGAAGGGCAGACACCTGCAGGGGAGGGACCAGCACCAGAGGAGAGATGCAGGGCAGGTTTGTAGAGGGAGGTGTTAGAAGAGGGGATGAGGAGGGGTAGCTCACATGATCAAATTGGGGCTACTGGAGGAGTGGGCACGGGGGGGAGAGAAGGGCTGGGGGAGGGGGGCAGGTTGCAGGAGGGCTGG